CTTCATGTATACTACAGCGGCCAGATCGCTTTGCATAGTATCAGTTTGTCTCCTTCCCTTCTCCTTCTTCCCTGATTTTCGCAGCGGCCAGGCCGCTTTGCATTTGGTTCCACGTTCCATATCACGCAATATCGCCCTTGCTCGTTGCAGCGGCTTGGCCGCTTCAGCTGTTACGGCGGCCTGACCGCTAACGTGCGCATGTGCGCCCTTGTTTGCAACAGCGGTCTGATCGCTAAATCTTTACTATTTGGTTCACGCAGTTTGTGCGTCGCTTTGGACGTCACAGCGGCATGCCCGCTTGTTGCTTGCGCGCAGCATATGAAGATGAGGATGAGGAGGATGAAGGGGAGGTGGGGGAGGAGGAGGAGGAGGAGCTGGCAGGAGGAGGAGGAGCAAGACCAGGAACGGCCCCTCTTATCAGCGGCCTGACCGCTTCGCAGCCTCTCTCCATCCAAGCGTAGCGCCGCAGCATACGCACGCAGCCGCGAAGCGCGACGGCTCAAGAGCGGCTATAGTCGCCGCTGACGGTTGCGCCGCAGGATGGACGCCCCTGCAATTGCGCGGCGCATCTCCGCAGTCGGCTTCATCCTGCAGTCGATCTGCGACCCGCTGCAGGTTGCCGCGGCGTCGGCCGCGCAAGCGGGGCAGGTGGTTAAGGGGCCCAAGAAGGCGAGGTTGCCTCCAGAGGACATCCAGCCGATTCCGCAGGCGATCGCGGAGCCACGGTTCGCCGACGCCGACAAGGCAGCCCTCGACACCTGCATCTCGGAGCTGGCTAGCAACGGCGATTCTGCCAGCTGCGTCGCTGGCTTTCAGGACTGGGAGTCGCTCCAGGAGTTCTTGCCCCAGTCAACCTGGGATTCCCTGCCGACAGGGGACCCCAACCCCCTCTTCGACTTTCTGATCGACCTCGGCCTCCGCAGAGCTTCAGAGCCCACGAAGCAGACGATGGCTTGCCTGCTCATTCAAGCAGGGAAGGGTCTTGACGGCGCACTTCAGATTGACGTTGCGCAAAGGACGGACTCTGTGCTGGCCGTCGGCACGCTATTCGCGGAGAGGGTGGCCACGCGTCAGCGGACGACCCCCAATCCTGTCATCATGAAGTTGCCGACGGTGCCTAGTGACCTGGCGAGCGACTATCCCACTGCGTACCAGCGGGCGTACAGCGTGTTCCCGCCGAAGCGTTTCGATCTCGACCCCGTCGGCTGGAACATCCTCAAGAAGACTACCAAGATGCGCCATCGTTCATATCGGCCCGCAAGCGTTGCGAGCTCCTCGTGGAGCATCCGCGGGGCGCAGCCAGCTGTCTCGAGGCAGAGTCCTGCAGGTTCTCCACAATGGCCTTCTTTGCAGCAGCAGCAGCAGCATCAGCAACTGCCGCCGAGCCAAGACGCGTCGCCTGCGATGGTCGCGCAGTTGGTAACGTCGATGATGCCGACGCTGCTTCCGATGCAGTCGCAGATCCAGCAGGTGCCCCATCAGGTGTTGCAGCAATCTCTCACAGGGCTGCCGAGCGGGATGGCGCAAAGTCCGAGCTTTTTTCAAGCGGCCAGCGCTGCAATGCAGCATGCAGCGGCCCCTGCAGCGCTTGCTGCATCACCCCAGCCTGCCGCATCGCCAGGTGCGCTTGCAGCGCTGACGCCTCCCCAAGGGCCAAATGCGCCTGCAGCGGCATCGCCAGCACCGAGCGCATCAGCATCAGCGTCCCCAGCAGCACCAGAAGCAGACGCACCAGCAGCAGCAGCAGCAGCAGCAGCAGCAGCAGCAGCAGCTGCAGCACCGTTCGCAGACGGGCCAGCAGGACCAGCGGCGCCTGCCGTTAACGCCCTGACGGGCTCCGAGCCCAAGCTGACCGTAGCCGAAGCAGCAGCAAGGATCACAGAGGTTTACGGCTCGCAGAAGACCGACCGCAAGAGGGCAAGGAAGGAAGATGGCGAACCCCCTGAGCTCAAGAAGGCTGCAAAACCCGTTATGAAAAAGCCAGCGGCCGCTGGCTCCGTGAAGTTGTCGCGCGTGTACGACGAGTCAACGCGTTCGAATTTCCTCGTCCGCTTCATGGACCTTGCAGACACGCAGGCTCCCATGAGCTTCCCGTGCACCACGAAGACGAAGCAGGCGACAAATAAGGAGGCATTTCCATCAGAGGGGGGGCGAACTTCGCGGAGGAGGAGGAGGAGCAGCAGCAGCAGAGGAGGAGGAGGAGGAGCAGCAGCAGGAGAAAGGGGAGTGCAGGGGAGAGTAGGGGGAGGATAGGTGCGAGTAGGGAATAGTAGGGGAGTGCAGGGGAGAGTCGGGGAGTAGGGGAGTGCATACAGAGGGGCGTAGGGGAGCGCACAGGGAAGGAAGGCTGGCCAGCCTGCCGGCCATCAAGACCTGCAAGGACGCGTGCAGCAAGGCCAACGTGGACGTGCCCAGTGGCCACGAGTTTCTCTCGACGAAGTGATCGCGCCAGAACTCAGACTTCCATCGCTGCGTTTGCGCGTCAGCAGCCCTGGCCGTACACGGGCATCTGCACGCAAGCTTGCATCATCTCAGCATGCCCACGTTTGGTACAGCGGCCTAACCGCTTTGCTTGATGCTTTCTATAGCGGCCAGTCTGCTTGCATGCGTTCGCCAATATTGCTACAGCGGCCTGGCCGCTTGGGGTTTGCCAGATTTGCTTGTTATAGCGGTCTGTCCGCTTTCATTATTTTCCGCTTCCCCCTCCTCCTCCTCCTCCTCTTCCTCGCCCCCCTCCTCCTCCTCTTCCTCCTCCTCCTCCTCCTCCTCCAGCTTGCGCGGCCGCCTGCGCCGCGCCCCCCTGCGAGGCCCCGCCGAGCCCCCCTGGGCCCCCCTGCAGCGAGCGCCATGGAGGCGTTCCTCGGGATGGAGAACGCGGCGGTGCACTCCTTTCTTCTTGGGGAGGATATATCCGCATTTGTTGTCTCTGCTTCTTCCTACACCAACACAGCGTCGATGTGCTTACGCTAGTCGTCGATTGTTTTGAGTTGCATGCGCACCCCCCCCTGCATTGCCCCACTCCGAGCCCCTCCCGTGCCCCGGGAAGAAGCTCCTGCTGATGCTGGCCAAGCAGCAGCAGCGGCAACACCAGCAGCAGCGGCAGCACGAAGCACCAGCAGCAGCGGCGATGAATCAGCATCAGCGGCAGCACCAGCAATACCAGCGCCAACACGAAAGAGCACTCCGCGGCCGTGGCAGACCCCCCCGGGCACGAAGGGGGCCGCGACTCGCCACAGAGAGGCCATGGCGCGAGTGCTCGATCGGCATCGCGGCCTGGACAGCCCTGGCAGCCGCCAGGTGAAGAGCCCTGTGCGCAAGAAGAAGAAGATGGATCCTTCTTCAAAGCTCGGCGCCGAGCAGCTGCCGAAGAAGCACATGGAACCTACTTCAAAGTGTCGCGCGCCAAAGCCGCAGGGGACATCGGCTACCTCGCTGCCACCACCGCTGCCACCGCCAGCTTCGCCACCGCCGCCTCCTGCGGCAGCTGCAGCAGGCCCTCCACCGCCGCCTCCTGCGGCAGCTGCAGCAGGCCCCCCCTCGGGGACAATGCCGTTTTGGCCGACGGCGGCGTCGCAGCCCGAGGTTTCGCCGCAGCCCAGGCCCATCGCGGCGTCATCGGCAGCGGCCCCTGCAGCGGCAACTCCAGCGCCGCCTCCAGCGGCGCGTCAGCCGCCTCCGAAGCAGCCGACGCCACCTGCACAGCCGCCGCCCCAGGCTCTGCTGCAGCCCCCAGCGCCGCCTCCAGCGGCTCCTCCAGCGGCAACTCCAGCGCCGCCTCCGAAGCAGCCGACGCCACCTCCACAGCCGCCGCCGCAGGCTCTGCAGCCCGGCCCCCACGGCTGGAGATCGCCGAACGGGGAGCCGTGGAGGGCGGGGGTCAACGGCGGCAAGGCGCGGCACGGCATCAGCGGCGGCCGCAATCGCGACTACTACCGCTTGCTGAGGCGCGCGCAGAATGAAGGCCCTGCGACTGTGGCGGCGTTCAAGGCGCAGAACCCGCACCCGAAGGAGCTCGAGAGGGCGCGGCAGTTCTACCAGAACGCCCTGCACGTCGCCAGGTCGGTCTCGCCAACGCCGCCAGCAGCAAAAGCGGAAACCAGCAGCACCGCGGCCAGCAGCAGCAACCAGCTCGGCAAACCGCCTTCACCCAAGCCTTTCCTTTGAGTAGCGGGCGCGACCGCTTAGCTTTGCAGCGGAAGCGACCGCTTAGCGGATGCGACCGCTCAGCTCAGCGCTGCAGAAGCGGGCGCGACCGCTAGGAGGACGAGGGGGGGAGGACGAGCAAGACGAGGAGGAGAGGACGAGCAGGGATACGAGGAGGAGGAGGAGGGGGACGATCAATGAGACAAGCCACCATAAGGATGACGAGGAGAAGGGAGCGCGGGAGGAGGAATACGATAAGCGGTAAGCCCATGCCCGACGCGCCTCGCATCGGGCGCACCCCCGCGCCCTCACGACGCTTCTGCGCCGAGCAGACGAGCTGCCTCGGCCCGCGCGGAGTTACAACATAGCGTGCTCTCCAGCATCTGCCCCAAGCTCCCGTGCAGCTGCCATGCTTCCTCCTCGTCCTAACACCTCCTCTTCATAGCGGCCAGACCGCTTTTCCTGTTCCTCCTCGTCCGTCCACCTCCATCGTCCATCATCAGATATAAGTAGCGGCCAGACCGCTGTGCCTCTCACCCTTCTCCTGCACCACCTCCTCCACCATATCGCGGCCAGACCGCTTTGCACCTCCCCCTTCTCCTGCACCACCTCCTCCACCCATGTAGCGGCCAGACCGCTCTGCCTCCCCGTCTGTCCACCTCCATCGCCCCTTCCACCGAAATAGCGGCGAGATCGCTTTGCGCCTCCCCTTTTTCCCGCAAACCCTGCCTTTGCCAAACAGCGGCAAGACCGCTTTGCGTCTTGCCATCGCCATGTAGCCTCGCATTGGTTGCGCCGCATCCTTGCGTTTCGGATCGAGCGCTGAACTGCGAGCTCCGCTGCCGCCTCCTCGCGAGGCACGCCGCTTCCCGCCTCCTCGAGCGAGGCTCCGCTCGAGGCTCCGCCAGCGCGCGAGCGATGGCGAGCGATCGCGTCGACGACGACAACGCGCGCACGCAGCGGTGGTTCCATGAGTGCCCGTTCAGCCACAATTGCCCGCAGGATAAGTGGGCCAAGCGCTCTCACAGGTGCCAGAGCTGGGACTCCGAGGCGGACGCGCGGGATAAGCTGTTCATGCACCTGCGCTGGAGCGACAAGCACAAGAGCGATGTGGATGGCATGACGGACGAGGAGCTCAAGGAGTTCGCGCAGGCGGCCGAGGTCGATTATCGCACCATCAGCAAGAAGGGCGACGAGCACAAGCGTTGGATGAAATGGGAGGCGGAGAAGCTGGAGAACAAGAGGCTGGCTGCAGCAGCCATCGGCCGCAAGCAGTACGGCGACAAGGCCCGCCGCGCCGACGACGACAGGGGCCGCCGCGACGACGACAGGGACCGCGACAACAAGAGGGCTCGTCGTGGTCGTTCTGGCAGCGGCGTCGACACGGAGCAGATCGCTGAGATGGTGGCGCTCAAGCTCGCCGCTAGCGCAGCAACACCAGGGGCTTCAGCTGCAGCACCCTCAGCAGCAGCACCAGGGGCGGCATCCAAGTCACCAGCCGTGTTGGCGCGCATGCATCAGGGCAGCGGTGCCATCGTGGACAACGCCGCGAGGGTGACCATGAGCCTCGGCGAGCTCAAGGCGTCCCAGGACGACGTCAAGCGGCGCAGCAGGGCGTCGAGCCAGATGTTGCGCTTCCTGGATGGCGCCAGGGTTGCGTTCTCGAACGAGCTGCAGACGTTCAACGACGCCGACGAGACTATCCAGCAGCCCATCGATGCGCACTCGTCGGGGTTGGTCTTCGGCGGTCGCGGCTGAGCGGCATCTGCAGTGGCTCGTTTTCTTCTCCTCTCATTACCACCGAGAATCTCACCATCGCAATCTCACCGTCGAGAACCCCACCATCGAGAATTTCATCCTTCTTCAGTTGCTGCGAGCCTGTTCGTATTAGAGCATGTCACGTCTTGCGTCGGAGACGCCCCTGTATAGCCAGCGCCCAGCGGAGTTCCGCTCGAGACGGCAACGCTCGAGCTTTGCGCGGCTCTGCAGGAGGCAGAGGCTGCGCGAGATCCTTTGCCATCCATTCCTGCTCCTTTTCTTCCTCCGCCTCCTCCTCCCCCCCTCCCCCTCCTCCTCTTCCTATAGCGGCCAGTCCGCTTGCATGCGTTTGCAATATTGCTACAGCGGCCTGGCCGCTTGCATGGGTTTGCCAGATTTGTGTGTTATAGCGGTCTGTCCGCGTTCATTCTTGTCCGCTTTCACTTCCTCCTCCTCCTCCCCCTCCTCCTCTTCCTCGCCCCCCTCCTCCTCCTCCTCCTCCTCCTCCTCCTCCTCCTCTGCCCCCTTTCCCCCCTTCCTCCCCGGCGCCCCTCTTGGGGCCTCGGCGCCCCCTTGGTGCTGGCACTCCTGTGCTCGGCGCCACAAATCCGAAGCTCGAGCTCCTACCCATTCCTCTTCGCTCCTCCTCCTCTTCTCCCCTTCTCCTCCTCCTACCCTCCTCCTCGATCCTCTTTCCCTCCTCCTTCCCGCTCCTCTTCTCCTCCCCCTACCTCTCCTCCTCTACGTCATCTTTCCCCTCCCCTCCTCCTCCCCCCTCCTCCTCCCTCCCCCTCCTCCTCCCCCTCGCCCCCCCCCCCCTCTTCTCTCCCCCCCCCTCCTCTTCTATCCTCTTGCCGCTCCCTCCTCCTCCTCCCCCTCTCCCCTTCCCCACCCCCCACCGCCCCCCCCCCGCCCCCCCATTCCGCCCCCCCCCCCCCTTCCATTGGCAGCAACTGATGTTAGTGATGTTGTCTGGTTTTGTTTTTCATACTTGTTGTTGTTGTTGTTGTGTTGTTGTTGTTGTTGTTGTTGTTGTTGATTGCTTGTTGTTTTTATGTTGTTTATGATGTTTTTTGTTGTTGTTCTTGCGTTGTATTGCAGGGCGGGCGTCAGGCAACACCAGACAACACAAACGCAACATAATAACAACAAACATCAACAAACAACAACATGTTGTTGTTTGTTGTTTTTGTGTTGATGTATGTTGTTGTGTGTTGTTGTTTGTGTGTGTTGTGTTTTTTGTTGTATGATGTATATGTTATATATATATATATATATATATATATGTGTGTATGTGTGTATATATATATATATCATATTCTTATTCTTCTTCTTCCCTCCGCCACCTCCCCCATCCGTCACCTCTCCCCGCTGCCCCCGCCCTCAGCGGGCCAACCGCTCTCCGCCTACCACCAATCCGGTTCCCTTCCCTTCCCCCCCCCCCACCACCCCTCAGCGGGCCAGCCGCATTGCGTCCGCTTCCCTCCTCCTCCCCATCTGCTCCTCAGCGGCCCAACCGCTTTGATGGGGAGGAGGAGGAGGAGGGGGGTGGGAGGTGGGGAGGGGGAAGGAGGAGGAGGAGGAGAGGTATGGAGGAGGAGGATTCGTTTTTCGATTTAGTATCGCAGCTTTGCTTTTTTTTTCTTTTTTTTTTTCTTTATGGTGATTTTTTTTGGCATCAAGTTTTTTGAACCCGCCCGACCGAATTCGAGAATTTGTTAAATGGCTGCCTGGGATGCTCGCTGCGCCACGCGCGGCGCCCTCGGCCCCGCAGCCACCATGGACGCGTGGCACTTCGCGCAGGGCGGCTCCTGGTGGCACCGCTGCTGCCTGCAGTGCGTTCGGAATTGCCGAGCGAGCTTCGGTGATGAGCATCGTTTAACCGAACCCTATCCCCATCTCGGTGGCCTTTTCTCCACTAGGGGATTTACCCCCCCCGACATGGGGATATAGGCGGAATGCCTGAGGTTTCGGGGTGCATATCCCCATGTCGGGGGCGGCGGGAGGGGGCGGGCTGGTGGGGGGCTACATGGGGCTGTTAGGTTAACCGATACTGAGGTGAAGCGCTACTCACCGTCGACGCGGACACGGCCACGAAGCTCGTCGACGAGCGCCTGGCGATCGTGGCTCAGGCGCGCGCTGCCCAGGACGGCGAGAGGGACAGGCACGCCAGCCAGCGGCGACGGCTTCACTGAGTGAATCCGCGCGCCGCGCGCATCGAATCGGGAGCAGTGCTCCCCGCCTGCGCCCGCAGAGACAAAGCGCCGCGGAGGGCGGCGCCCCCCGTCGAGGAGGCGCCGCGCGCAGTTCCTCCTCCTCCTCCTCACCTTCCGCGCTCTCATCAGCGGTGCAACCGCTTTGCTTTGCATGGCCCCTGAGGGGGGGGGGGAAGGGCGGCCGAAACCAGACAGATCAGTGATCTATCTGTTTTGGGCCCTCCTCCACCTTCCTCCCCGTCCTCTCCCCCCCCCTTATCCCTCTCCTCCTCCTCGGCGGGCCCCGCCGCTTTGCCTTGCAGTTGTTGCATGCATTTTTCCTTCTTCCCCCCTTCCCCACCAGCCACCTTCCCCGCCCCCCCCCCCCCCCCCCCCCCCCCCCCCCCCCCCCCCCCCCCCCCCCCCCCCCCCCCCCCCCCTCCCCCTCCACTTTCCACCTCCCTCCTGGACGGTTCTACCCGCTTTGCTCTGCAAATTCAGCGGCGCAGTCGCTTCCCGCGTTCGCGTTTCCCGTTCGCAGCAACTTGAAGGGCTTCCCGAGGCGACTGCCCTCGTCGGAAGTTCCCCCGCGCACGCCATGGCGTCCAAGCGCGCGGTGAAGAAGCGGCGTCAAGGAAAGGTTGCTTCGCTGCCTTGTGACGATGGCGGCGATCATGCCGCTTCTTTTCTCATGCCCTCATATCATCTCTCCATCCAGGCGCAGCGGCGTGACCGATTGGCACCCGACCCCCCACTACCCCCCCCCCCCCCCCCCCCCCCCCCCCCCCCCCCCCCCCCCCCCCCCTTCCCCGCACCTATTCAGGCGATGCTACTGATGCAGCAGACGCCGCACAGGTCATCGCCAACGCGATGATGACGACCTTGCCCAGCTTCTCCGACGACAGCCCTGCTCCCATGGCACCAGTGGCAGCTCAGAACGTGCTGCAGCTCAGAACGTGCTGCAGTCGCTCTTCCAGCGCCGGACCGCGGCAGGCAGCCAGGAGGCGCCAACCGAAGAGGCGGGGGGCGCTGTCGCAGGCAGCCTTCAGCCAGCAGCAGGCGAGCCTGTCGGCGAACCCGCCGGCGAGCCCGTCGCCCGCGCTCCCGAGGTCGCGCCGGCAGAATCCCCGAGTGACGCCCGCCCGCCCTGCCCGCCCCAGCCCGAGGCCACCAAGGAGGCGACAAAGCCTGACAAAGAGGCAACAAGGGACCCCCTGCCTGACAAAGAGGCAACGAAGGAAGAGGCTGAAGAGGAGGCGGGCGAGGAGGCTGAAGAGGAGGACGTGCCAGTGGAGCAGCTGTCGGACGACGACGAGGGGGGAAGAGGTTGAGGCCCTGCTCTCGCAGGGCGACCCGAAATGCTCCATGTGCAAGAAGGAAACGAATCCGCTTGCACAGGGTTGTGAGATCACCCATGGCGGCGCGGTCATCACGTGTGCCACGTGCAGGGCACGCGACCAAACACTACGAAGGATTTTCGGAGGGTGGCCGATTGCGGAGTTCACGAGCTCACCACGGAGGAGCAGGATCACTTCTACCAGAATTGAGGGTCAGCCGCTGCGCTGCGTTGCCGCGGACGCATGAAAGGGGATGCTGGATGAATGTGCGCGTGAAGCGCAATACGGAGACCCACGCTGGACAATTCCTGCCCTTGTCTGCGCACGAAAAGGCTTGGATACCAACGCGAAAAGATACTGAGGAAGAGAAACACAGGCTGCTGGACATCGAGCGATCGAGGATCATCCAGTTTTCGGGAAGACGCACCGCGTTCAGATCCACGAGATCTCGGAGGCCAGGATCAAGGAGGTCATCATGCATGAGATAGCTAAGAAAGTTGGCCGCAATCGCAAGCGCAGAGCGTCAGCCTTCCTGGGGGCTGCAGAGGAAGCTGAAAAGCCGCAGAGCGCAACAGCGGCAGGTGCAGCAGCAGCGCTCGAGGAGGCCCCAGCGGAGCTGCCGAGCAGAAAGGCGCAAAGAAGCTAGCAGCAGCAGCAGCAGCAGCAGCGACAGCAGCAGCAGGCTCCAGCCCTCGAGCTCCACAAGAAAGAGAAAAAGAAGAAGGGCAAGAAGGGAAAGAAGCGCAAGAAAGGCAAGAAGGACAATAATAATAAGAATGACAAGAACGATGACGAGGAAGAGCTTTCAGGGTCTGACGCGGGCCTCAGCCCAAAGGAGCTCGCGGCCAAGCGCAAGGCGAAGCTCGCAGCGGAGAAGAAGGCGGCCCGCGAGGCTGAGAAGATTCAGAAAGGCGAGTGTGCAGGGAGATGGCCAAAGAGGGAGGCAGCCGGCAAAGGGAGGACCAGGAGAAGAAGCGCACCCAAGGGCTGGCCGCACTGTTAACATTCGCGGCGGCGGAATGCCTTTTGCTGAAAGAAGGACGGGGGGGTCTTCATGCCTGCCCGATGAGCGCGCGAAGAAGGCTCGACGGAGTCAGTCGGAAGCTGACGAGGGGGGGCGGGGTGGGGGGGAGGGGGAGGGGGGAGGAGGGGGAGGAGGGGGGGGAGGGCGGTGGAGAGGAGGGGAGGTGGCTGAAGGCAGAGGAGGAGGAGACAGGAAGAGAGGAGGAGGAGGAGGAGGAGGGGGAGGAGGGGGGGGAGTCGCCCCCTCTCATTTCAGGCGCCGACGACGTACACTGAGGAGGCCACCAAAAAGCAAAAGTTTATGAATGATGTTGTGGAGCACTGCAACAAGTGCCTGGAGGACGAGGATGTCGTCCCAGACGTCGAGGAGGAGGAGGTTAAGACGGCTGTCAACTACATGACAGCGTGGATGAAGAATATCAAGGCGGCTTTCGAGACGCAGTCG